CTTCCCTGTACTCGGTTTCCAAGCATCTCTCTCTTTTTTTGGGGGGGGGAGGGGTCGGGGGGGGGGGGGTCGGGGCTGGAACCCAGGGCGGGATTCAGGTGATTTGCCACAGAGCTATTCCGCAGCCCTCTTGGCCTCGGGGAAAGGGAACCTCGCCCGCGGTGCATTTCAGGCTCTGCACTATCCCCAAGGAACTTTTTTACCCCAGACGGAGTAGACACGCCCCTGCCGCATCCCGGACCCGCGGAGGGATTCTGAACACAGACACGCGCCACACGCGAGTCGCGCGCTGATTGGCTGGTGCGGAACTGGCCCCACATCAGCCCAGACCACAGCGCCGCCAAGAGCCGGCCTGAACGGCAGCCAATCATACAGCATGCCGGTGCGTGGGCTGCGCCTCTCAGCCAATCCGGAATGGGATCCCGGAAAGGGCGTGCCCAATGAGAGCTGGGTGGAGGGGCGGAGCTTCCAGGGACCCGGGAGGTTGGCAGGGCTGTCACCTTGACGACCTGACAGCCTGGGAGAGTCCGGAAACTTGGGAAACCTGAATCCTAGCCCTAAGTTGACGCCCTTCTGGGAAAATGCTTTTCTTCTTAAATTATATTTGTTTTAATTGAGAAATATTTTGTTTCTCCAAATTTTCTTATGTAAGAAATTTTCCATCCAATATGTTATAATTTATATATTTTGATCATATTTCCCCTTCCCCAAAAGGCCTTTTTTTTTTTTTTTTTTGAGACATAGGGTTTCAGCCCAAGCTGGCCTGAAAATCGATACGTAGCCGAGACTGGTTTTTAACTCCTGATCCTCCTAGCATGTCTCACTTCCTGAATGCTAGGCGAGCATTGTACCCACTGACCTACAACCCCAGGGCAAAAAAAGGTTTTAGATAGCCATGTGCTTAGATATGCACGCTGAGCTACGACAGGGGGCAAGCCCATGCACGAGGGACCTGGGGATCCTTGGGAAACCACGGAGCCCAATGCTTTACATAAAGGTCCAGGAGATAGCCGGGCAGTGGTGGTGCACGCCTTTAATCCCAGCACTCGGGAGGCAGAGGCAGGCGGATCTCTGTGAGTTCGAGGCCAGCCTGGGCTACCAAGTGAGATCCAGGAAAGGTGCAATGCTACACAGAGAAACCCTGTCTCGAAAAACAAAAACAAAAAAAGGTCCAGGAGACGGTGCACAGTTAGTGGCTGGGTCACATGAGCAGGGAACTGCTTCAGATGGGACAGGATAAGGTGACTTTAGGGCTCTGTAGAATATGAATGGCAGCCTTTGTGTACTGTTCGTTCTGCATGGTACTTTGGTAAACAAAGGCAGGGGGCCCTTAGGTGGACCCCAGTGAAAGCAGGTGCCCTGGTTTTCTCCCTCCCCATCCCAGCTGGTCCAAATAGGTGTATAGGCATGACTCAAAATAGATCTGAAGGGTTTGCAATCTTGTTTATTTATTGCTGAAACAGATTACATCCGCTGGGGTCAATCTCCTTGAATTCAAAGCCAGCTTCCACTACCTAGTGAGACCTTATCAAAAAATAAATAAATAAAACTAACAAAGAGCCTCAAATGCCACTTTGTACTGGAGTGATAAGGGGTGGAATTCTGTCCTGCCTCCAGGTAGGTAGGTGGTGTGGATGAGAGCTGTTGGCAGTCAGTTCAGGAAGAACCAGCCACTTTTGGCTCAGGTTGTATCTCAAACTCCAGGAGTCTTGGCTTTCTCCTTTATTGACAAAGACGATCCTTTTTTTTACCAGAGTCTTGTACAAGTTCAGCCAGGGAGAACTGAAGGAGACACAGGGGCCCTCTGCCGTCACTCAGAGCAGCACAGAATGACCACCTTTGCTGCCATCCTGATTTCCTGGAAACCCATTACTCTAGCATATCTCCCTTCCCTTCACCTACCCACACTTTCCCCCATGTAGGCAAGAACACCAGACGCACTCCATCCACACCAGGCAATGCTTTCCGGCACTATGGCACATGTCCGGCCAGGACTGACCGGCCTTAAGGACAGTCTGACTCTTGTTATTGTTGACTGCCATAGGATGAAGACATTTTCTAGATTCTGAAACAAGTACAGATGGATGGTCCTGCGGGAATGAACAACTGTCCCAAGTTTCTGGGGGGTCAGACGAGAGTCAGTTCGGGCAGTGGGTTCTTCAGCACTACCGACTTAGAAATCTGGGGTAAGTGAAGAAATACTTTTCTGGTCCGGTGGTCCCCCTCCTTTTAAGTGCCCAAGGCTCAGGGGCTGGGCCAGCTCATGGTAGACAAACCGTTTGGAAGGGAGACTTAAGGCCTGAAGCTTACAAGGTAAAGGCTGTGACTGTGGGCTTTATCCCCAAAGTTGTTCACTTTCATTATCCTCTTCTGGTAGCAGAAAGGCAGTGGCAGCGTGGTGGTGGTGGTGGTGTGTGTGTGTGTGTGTGTGTGTGTGTGTGTGTGTGTGTGTGTGTGTGTGTTTGTGTGTGCGCACACGCGCACTCCATCCAGCAATAGCAGGAGGCAGTGTCATCCAGGGCTTCAGCTTTCAAGAATCTCAAGTGTCAGAGCTTAGTTTTTTTTTTTCAATTTACTTACTTATTATGTATACAGTGTTCTGCCTGCATGTATGACTACATGCCATAAGAGGGTACCAGGTCTCATTACAGATGGTTGTGAGCCACCATGTGGTTGCTGGAATTTGAACTCAGGACCTCTGGAAGAACAGCCATTGCTCTTAGCCCCTCCAGCTCCAGATCCTTAGTTCTTGATAGCAATAAGTGTCACAGTGCAGGGAGTCTGAGACTGAGACAGATAAGAAGGACTCGTCTTTCCCTGGGCCCGAGGAAAGTATTAAACAATTAAAGAACTGTTTAAAATCACTATGATTGTGGTGGTAGTGGTGCATGCCTTTAATCACAGCACCCAGGAGGCTGACTAGCAGATCTCTGAGTCTCAGACCAGCCAAAGCTACACAGTAAGATCCTACCTCAAAAAATAAAACCCAGCTGGCTGTAGTGATGAATGACTTTAATCCCAGCACTCAGGAGGCAGAGGCAGGCGGATCTCTGTGAGTTCGAGGCCTGCCTGGTCTACAGAGTGAGTTCCAGGACAGCCAAGGCTACACAGAGAAACCCTATCTCAAAATAAATAAATAATAATAAAAACCACTATTATTATCAGTGGTAAGTTGTTTGAATTTGTAAGCACTCCTGACATTCATTTTTATTTATTCTTTGACAATTTCATGCACATGTATATAATGTATTTTTACTATATTCACCTCCCATGTATGTGTGGGTAGGTAGGTGAGTACATGTGTGCCATGGTTAACATGTGGAGGTCAGAAGACAAACTTAGGGGAGTCAATTCTCTTATTCCACAGTGTGGGTCCTAGGGATCAAACTCAGGTCACCAACTTGACGGTACGGACCTTTACTTACTGAGCTATCTCAATAGCTCCCCTCCTTTTTTTAAAAAAAGACAGGATCTCACACAACTGAAGAATATAAGTAGGGAGGAAGCTAGAAAGTAGGAAGAGACTTGTAGGCTCTGATCACCGAGAGTGGCCAAGCCTTCAAGGCCAAGGGTGTGACCCCAGGGTCTAAACTTACGATGCTGGCAACTCGTAAAGGAAGGCAGATGTTAAGAGCTAAGGCATTCCAACAGACTCACAGGAGGGCTGGAATGCCGGCTGCTGAGACCTGAAGAATCTTCATACCTGGTGGGCCTGGACGGTACAAGCCCTGACACACCCAAGGCTGAAAAAGAAAAAAAATCTCAACTTCCAAGAACCACACTAGCTTCAGAGCCCGTGTTGCGTTAAGGGTCCTGAAACTGAGCCCTTGCCACGCTAGAGGGCACCACCTGCCTGCTGTCACCACTAGCTGAAGCAAGCCAGAGACAGCAGAGATGAGCCCACTGGCTTCCTGCACTCCCCACCACCCCCACCACCCCATCCCAGGATTTCTGACAACCACAGGCTTGGCCCTTAATGCTTCGTAGCTTCCAAAATCCTTCCAGCTCCAAGGTCCCGTGTCCCCGGGTGTTGTTTTCGTATCTTCACAGTGGATCCCTCTCTTTTCTCCTGTGGTTTCTACCCTGACCTTTCTCTGCAACTCTTCAGGAGCACTTTGGTTGCTACTGCTGCTGTCCGCACTGCTCTTCCAGGACTCAAGTTCGGTTCCCAGTACCCATCTGAGGTGGCTCACAACCACAGCTCCAAGGGACCAGATCCCCTCTTCAGGACCGTGCAGGCAATTCCAAACACATGAATGGAGAATTAAAAATAACTCTAAAATGGCCGGGCGGTGGTGGCTTATACCTTTAATCTCAGCACTTAAGAGGCTGAGCTAGGTGGATCTCTGTGGGTTCGAGGTCAGCCTGGTCTACAGAGCAAGATCCAGGATAGGCATTAAAGCTACACAGGAAAAACCCCACCTAAAATAAATAAATAAAGATAGATAGATAGATAGATAGATAGATAGATAGATAGATAAAAATGATGGGGCTGGAGAGATGGTTTAGTGATTAAGAGCACTGGCTGCTCTTGGGGAATATCCATGTTTGTTTCCCAGCACCCACAAGGCATCTCACATTCCTCTGTAACTCCAGCTCCAGCAGATCTGTATCCTCTTCTGGGTTCTGAGGGCACCGCATGCACACAGTGCCAAAACATATGCAGGCACAACACTCATACACATAGACAAATAAATCTTTTAAAAAAATAATATTGGGGACAGGAGAGATGGCTCCGTGGTTAAGAGCACTTGCTGTTCTTGTAGATGACCTGGGTTCTCTTCCCAGAACTCATATAGTGGCTCACAAACATCTGTAACTCCAATTCCAGGGGTTCTGACCCCCCTCTTCTGATCTCTGAGAGCACCAGGAACACACAAGGTGCACATATATTCAGGCAGGCAAAGCAGTCTTAAAACATAAAATAAAAGGAATCTCTAATTAGGAGTTTACCACAGGTGCCTCACTAAAGTCAAGAAATCCATCCAAGAGTCCAAATGGCAAATTTACAGTAAACGTTTATTAAGCTGTAATGTTCACAATGTTTTAATCCAGTTCTTAAGTCAATCTACAAAGACCTCTAACATCAAAGCCAGTGATTAATAAATAAGAGGAATGTATCCATCACTTTGCAAAAAAATAATAAGCCTGACGCTTTTTTTCTATATAAGATATTCGTAGAATCTGCTTCCCAACTAAGGTATGTGCACGTGTGTGTGTGTGTGTGTGTGTGTGTGTGTGTGTGTGTGTGTGTGTGCACCCCACTATGTTCACGGAATGGCTTTCTATTGTGTTAACTAAATACTATTAAAAATTTCTAAGCTGAGGCACAAGATATGAACTCAACCACGAAGACATCATTGGTTTAAAAAAAAAAAAAAAAAAGAGTATGATTTGCAGCTAAGAACAGGGAAATAATTACCTCATGGGGGATTTAACTGCACACTAGTCACTGTCACAAGAAATTAATTATAGGCTATTCAGAGATTTATCACAGATGCAGACAGGAAACGGACACAAGAGGAAAAGCTTGAAATCTGCAGAGACATCAGGACAGAGAGTCGATCACGCCGTCCGCTGTCATAGCTGTCCAGGTGACAATGCAAACAGTGGGCTTCTTATGCCACTGGGACAGGAAAACAGGTTCTCCATGTCGGCCCTAGCTATGGAGGGATCGATCACCCCAGAACAAAACACGTAAGGGTATGATGGGCTGCAGCTTGCTGATGCCAGTCAGGACAACCGTTGGCAGCTGTCCAGTGTTAAGAATACTGGGTTAGAACCCGCAAATTTTAGATATACATATATATATATATATAATTCTACAATTCACAGGTGAGGAGCCCAAAGTCCAAGTACTTAAATGGTCCTAAACAAAAACATTGTAGAACTGTCATAAGTTGTTTTGAAAAGCAGCTTGCATGCTGGCTGGGGGTGGAGCTCACGTGCCTAGGACCTGAAAGTAAAAAAGGTTGGGGGGAGGGGTTTTGGGGGGCGCACCCTTGGAAAAGTCCTTGTAGCTACAAGTACACACCAGCGATGGCTTTCTGGTGAAATCAGGCAATTCAAAACCTACTGGGATGCCTGGCATGGTGATGCACACCTTTAATCCCAGCACTCGGGAGGCAGAGGCAGGCAGATCTCTGGGAGTTCAAGGCCAGCCTGGACTAGAGTGAGACCCTGTCTCGGAACAAAACAAAAAGTACCGAGGGCACAGAAGGGAAGCACTTCAGGTTGGCCACCAAACACAAGCTGTAGACTCTACATTGTAGAGTCTACAACTTTAGATTCTGTACTGACTCTTGAACAAGGTGTGTGTTTGTTGAGACGGGGGCTTGCCATATAACCCAGGACGGCTTTGAACACACCACCTTCCTGTCTATCTCCAGACTGCAACCACATCTGGCTTCCTGGTCATACTATTTCCAAGTCATGGGTCCATCACGGGTGTGCCAAGGCCATCTAACAATGCTCCCGAGCACAGACTTCCCACAGAACCTTGAAGGTTCTCACGAGGTACCCAGGGAGGATATGCCATCCGGCCCACTTCCCTGGAAGTCACAAAGGCCACCCGAAGCCCCATCTTCTACTCATAGGCAGCTGAGCCTCATTTTCAAGTTGCCTCTCAGGAAATGTCCCTGGGTCACTTTTATGAATGGAAGACCCCATCATGATCCACAAGGGCCAGCAGTGAAGACGTTCTTTTCCACGCTTTACTGCCAGTAAAAAGGCCAAGGCTCAACAAAGGACCCAAAGGGTGGGGGATGCTGGCAGCAATAAATCATATTTGTAAAAGGTGCCTGTTTGCTGCACTGTTAACAGACTGCCTCCTGATGCGAACAGGGAAGAAATCACTACATAAACCCTGACCACAGGCCGGGGTGCGAGGGCCTGAGCTGGTTTGGAACAGTGCTTCTGTAGCATGTAGGAAGCGCTGGGTTCCACCCCCAGCACCACATAAACCAGGTGTGGTGGCACTTCTCTCTAACCCTAGCACTGGGAAGATGGAAATAGGATCATGAGGTTCAAGGTCATTCTCAGATACACAGCCTGTTTGAGACCAGCCAGGGCTACAAGAGAACCATCATCTTAAAAAAACCAAAACTAGCCAGGCGGCGGTGATGGTGATGGTGGCGGTGGTGGCGGCAGCGGTGTGTACCTTTAATCCCAACACTCGGGAACTCACGATATGAGTTCAAGGCCAGCGTGGTCGACAGAGCCAGTTCCCTTAGAACATACAGAAACCCTGTCTCAGAAAACAAAAAACCAAACAAACAAACAATCAAAAAAAAAAAAAAAAAAAAAACAGGGCTGGAGCGACTGCTCGGTTAGAACATTGGCTGTTCTTCCAGAGGACCAGGTTTGATTGCCAGGCTCTACGTAGCAGCTGACGATGGTAACCACACCCTCTTCTCGCCTCTGTGGGCACCAGGCACGTAAGTGGTACAGACATACACGCAGACAAAACTCCCACATACATAAAATAAGAAGTTCAAAATGAAACACCAGCATCGCCGGGCGGCGGTGGTGCACGCCTTTAATCCTAGCACTCGGGAGGCAGAGGCAGGCGGTTCTCTGTGAGTTTGAGGCCAGCCTGGTCTACAGAGCGAGATCCAGGACAGGCTCCAAAACTACACAGAGAAACTCTGTCTTGCAAAAAAACAAAACAAAACAAAACAAAAAAAAACCCACCAGCATCAAAAATCACCACCCCCAAAGAGCGGTCATAACCCACACCTTTAATCCCAGCACTCTAGATGCAGAGGCAGGAGGATCTCCGTGAGCTCCAGGACAGCCAGAGTTATTACACAGAGAAACCCTGTCTTGGAAATAAAAATAAAAATAAAATAAATCACCAACCCAACCCTGTCTTCCCCCTCCTACCCTCCCCCCAAAATCACCAACCCCAATGTGATCCCCTAAATCCAGTTCTTCAGAGATAACCAATCTGACCTCAATCCTATCCTTGGTAAGGCAAGTACTTATAGTGACAAAGAACCATCAGGGAATTAACTCTGACTTTAAGACAGTTCAAACCCCAACTCTCTCTTCCTTTCATTTTTTAAAAAAAAAATTATACATGTATTTATTTAGGGGAAGGGATGGCAAACCATGGCCTGTGTGCAATGGTCAGAGGAAAACCTTGTGGGCGCTACCTGTCTTCTTCACCATGTGGGTGGTCCTGGGAATCAAACTCAGGCTTGGTGGCAAGCACCTTTACCCACTGAGCCATATCGCCGGCCCCTGACTCTTAATTATAACAGATCCATGGCCGCTGCCATCAAAATGTCTCTTTCTCGTGTTATTCAGGGAAGAGGAGTTGTACACAGCTCCGAAGATAAGGCATGAAATGAGGTACAAAAATACATCTTTCCACATACAAAAGGGATGGTAGAAGAAGGGAAACCTATAAGCTACTTCGCACCTGCACGGAATGGAGACAGAAAAAGAAAAATCTTTAACTACGTGGGAGTTAAGAATATATCCAAGGGCTGGAGAGATGGCTCAGCCGTTAAAGGCTAGGCTCACAACCAAATATATAAGAATATATCCAAGCCGGGCGGTGGTGGTGCATGCCTTTAATCCCAGCACTCGGCAAGCAGAGGCAGGAGGATCTCTGTGAGCTTGAGGCCAGCCTGGTCTACAGAGCGAGTTCCAGGACAGGCTCCAAAGCTACACAGAGAAAGAAACTCTGTCTCAAAAAAAACCAACCAACCAACCAACCAACCAACCAACCAACAATGCATCCAAACAATGCCAGCCGTGGTGGCTCCCACCTTTAATCCCAGCACTCACTTGGGAGGCAGAGGCAGGTGGATCTCTGAGTTCGAGGACAGCGGAGGGAGGGGGGGCACTATGAAGAGACCCTGACTTAAAAAAAAAAAAAATACATTATAAACAAGGTGAAATGAAATGTATGCATCTACCATCTAAAGGTCTACTTCTAGAATATCAAGTAACATTCTACTCTGGTGTGTACATTCTTCCATTAGAATGAAGGCATCCTGGGGCTAGACTCTAGAGTGCTCTCTTAGGATGCATGGTGCCTAGGTCCCACCCTAAGCACTGCACACAATGAGTGTGGAGCCACATATCTGTCATCCCTGCACTCGGGAGGTAGAGGCAGGAGGATCAGAAGTTTAAGGCCAGTCTCAGCTACTTAAGCAAGTTCAAGGCCAGCCTATGATACATGAGACCCTATCTGAAAGAAAATACATGAATAAATTCAAATGAAGATTATCTTGGATTTATATAAATCAAACTATAAAACTGGCTTTAGAGTCTACATTTGGTCAGGCTGTTTAACTTTTTTCTTGTTATTGTTTTGAGACAAGGTCTCAGTGTATAACTCTGACTGACCTAGAACTCACTGTATAGAGCAGACTAGCCTCAAACTCACGAGATCTACCTGCTTCTGGCTCTTGTGTGCCACTAAACCTGCCTTCTGGTCTTGATATGTAATCCTAGCTGGCCTGGAATATACATACTATTTAAACTGAGCTAGCCTCAAAATAGCAGCAATCCTCCTGCCTCTGCCTCCTGAATACTAGGACTGCACACTCAGCTACAGGGGTACTGTCTAGGACCTGAAATCGGACATCTCTGTGGCCACCAATGAGAGGAGCCAAGGCAAGAGCAGGGAGGCTCGGCTTCACAGAGGTTGATAGCCAATATCTGCAAATCAATCTTTTGGTATGATATGGCCAGACATTGGGAAGGAAACATGAGTTAGCCACTGACATGCCCCTCCACCAGTTACTACTCACACCCTGTGCAGCAAGTACATCTGTTGAGAGTATCCAAACAAAACGTAACTGAACTGTTTCACACCAGAAGTCATGTGTGTCCAATGTCCATGGAGAGATTTCCCCAGTATGGGTTCCACAAGTGAATGGAATTCAAAAAAGTGTGAGCCCCATACAAGTCACCCCAAGAACAGAGGTTTCAGACCTATCCTCAGAAAGACCCGAATCTGTGTTCCAGACATTGATAACCCAAAACAGAACTTCTCAGACACATGGCACCAGAGCTATTGTCGGCTGGGTTCCTCCACCAAGGTCTGCCATGAGAGCCGACAACTGACTCCACCAAGCTCAACTTGGGACTGTGGCCCCAGGGTACACTGAAGGACCACAGAGACAATGGCAATCCCAGCCACATCCTGCAAAAGCCAGCTTCCTTTCCACAGAGTCCTGGCAGAGGGGGCGTCACCTCCAGTCTCAGACCCAATTCTCTGCCCAGGCCCCCCAACCCAAGGTTAAACTGAAACAACTCCCTGGATCCCAGACAAAAAGCACCTAACATAATCATAAAAATTCCAGGACAGACAATTCAGATCTTAAGGTTGCTTATGCCTAAGAATATTCTAGAAGCAATGAAATGAAAGATGTTACTGGCCATCAACAGTTTTTTCTATGGTCTTGAGTCAAGGAAAAGCAAATGAAACAAAGAAGCAAATCCCATTTGGGTCCAACTGGCAAATAGGGAATGTGAGATTCAGCTAGATTCCGGAATAATGTTCAAGACCCACCCAGGAAGTTCTTGGCATCAAACTCCAAAGACATTTTGTAGCCCCATCTGTGTGTGTTTTCCTTCTAGAAAGGCTGGGTGTTAGACTACATTAAAGTCCAGTGAGGAGGAAAGGATTCCAGGACGTCTATGGGTACCTTCATTCAGAAACACAGTGGACAGGGGTGGGGGTGAGCTCGGCATCCCCAGCACCATAGAAACAGAAAGACATGAAGGAACACAATGCGAGGAGCACACAGGGGCCCTAGGATCCAAAAGTGACCGAGTTCCACTCTGAAGCCCAGGTGTCCACGATAACAAGAGACAGCACTCATGAACCAAGTCACCACCAACAGACATGAAGTAAAGGTCACATCTGGGAGCACGAAGATAATAACGCACGCAGGGCTCACCCACCAGCCAATTTAAACTTCCTTCGAATCTTCAAGTGCTTCCTTCCAAGGTCTGATAAACTTGACTTGATCTTCCTTTATTTAAAAACCTTACAAAAGATTCGAATGTTTGAAAAAAAAAAAATCAACTTTATGTTCTATGCAGATAAATTTCTCTGACTACACGGCTAAGAGGGCTATATCCATTGTTTAAAAAATATGTTGTGCCCACTAGCGACACTCTGATTTAAGTCCTACGTGAGTTCTTTCTCCTCCAGTGGGTCGTAAGGTCGGCACACAGTGGGAAATACCAGGTTGTGGCGTTCTTGTTCAGTTTATTGGGAGGGGTCGGGGTTTGGTGGGGTTGCCGCTGGCTGCTGTTTTATTCTTCCTCCGTTGTCTTTTGACATCACAATAGCTGGTAGGCACCCTTGGACGGCCGAGGGGAAACTGACCTTCACTTGTCCTTGGAGCGGTCCAGGTTCTCCAGCACCCGGTTGAGGCGGATGTTGAGCAACCTCACCTGGTTCTCCAGGTGCTCCAGCTTCTCCTCCACGCTGGGGCTGCCGAGGCCACCGGGAGCGCCCCGCCAGTAGCCCATGGGCCCCGTCATGAAGTAGATGGCCACCACGAGGCAGAGGGGCAGCACGGCATGCTCCGGCTCACCCTCGTACTTATGCAGGATGTACACGCAGGACATGGAGAACAGGACGACTCGGACGAGCCAGAAGAAGCGGCCGAACACCAGGTGCAGGAGGCTGAAGGTGAAACCCAAGGTCAGAGACAAGAACCAGTAGGCCAGGAGGACCACACCAACCAGCACCAGGGCCCGGGTGGGGCTGTTGGACACGGAGGCTGGGCTGAAGTACTGTGACAGGTTGGACACTGAAACAGAACAGAGGACAGAGCTAGTTAATCCCACGTGGTCAGGACATTCTTTTTTTTTGGGGGGGGGGGGAGTACTGGGGGGCAGACACACCTTTATTTATTTATTTTTTTTTTCAATGAACATAATATTTGCAATTGTAACCATTTTTAGGTTCACAAATCCAGTGGCATGAATTACATTCAAGATATTAATTACACTCACGCTATTCATTAATTACACTCATGATATTCGTTGCATGTGTGGTATTCATTGATTACATTCACAGTATTCATTCAATAACCATATTTATGATATTCATTAATTACATTAATTGTATTGATTTATTACATTCATGATATTATGTCCTGATACGACTGTCCGTTTGTGGGGCTTTTCCATCACACAAAACAGAAACCAGGGAGCGTGGTGGCGCACGCCTTTAATCCCAGCACTTGGGAGGCAGAACCTGGTGGATCTCTGTGAGCTCAAGGCCAGCCTGGGCTACAGAGTGAATTCCAGGAAAGGAAAAGCTACACAGAGAAACCCTGTCTCGAAAAAAAAACAAAACAAAACCAAACAAACAAACAAACAAACAAACAAAAAAACAGAAACCAGGAGATTCTTTGACAGCCTCAGGACAGCTAAGCTCAGGGGCTGGACCCATGGGCTCCTGCCACAACCCAACACAATGAAAGCCAATTGAAGCAAGCGTTTGAGCCTCCAAAGTAGCTGAGGAAGCACAGGTGGTCCCTCGGGACTGTTTGTCTCTGTCATGAGTTTAAAACACCTTTTGTGAGGCTGGAGATTATGGCTCAGCGGTGAAAAGCACTGGCTACTTTTGCAAAGGACCCAGTTCAATTACCAGCAACCACATGGTAGTTCACAACCACCTCTAACTCCAGTTCCAGGCGACAAATCTTCAGGTACTGCATATATGTGGTATGCAATATACGTGCAGACAAAATATCCCTACACATAAAAATAAATAATAAGTAAATCTCAAAACTATTTTTTTTCTTTTTGTTTTTTTTGTTTTTGTTTTTGTTTTTGTTTTTCGAGACAGGGTTTCTCCGTGTAGCTTTGCGCCTTTCCTGGAACTCGCTTTGGAGACCAGGCTGGCCTCGAACTCACAGAGATCCGCCTGGCTCTGCCTCCCGAGTGCTGGGATTAAAGGCGTGCGCCACCACCCGCCCGGCTCTTTTTGGTTTTTTTTGAGACAGGGTTTCTCTGTGTAGTTTTGGTGCCTGTCCTGGATCTCGTTCTGTAGACCAGGCTGGCCTCGAACTCACAGAGATCCTCCTGGCTCTGCCTCCGGAATGCTGGGACTAAAGGCATGCACCACCACCACCTGGCTCTCAAAAATGGAGCTGGGGTTCAAACTCAAGTCCTTGTGTTTGCAATAAGCTATCTCCTCAGGCTGGTCACAGTGGCTCGCATCTGTCATCCCAGTACTTGGGAAGCTGAGGCAGGAGGATCAGGTCATCCTTGGATCCTCCACATTGAGTTTGAGGCTAGTGTGAAGTACAAGTGAAGCTTGTCTCAAAAACAAAGCAAAACAACAACCACAAAACCAAAAAACCAAAAATAACAGCAAAACAAAAATAGTAAAATTGATTGATTTCACCAACTTAGAGACGGGGGTCTCATGTAGACCAGGCAGGCCTTGAACTCACAGAGATCTGTTTTACTCTGAGTACTGGGATTAAAGGAATGAGCCACTAAGCCAGAGTAAATTTCACCCATTTCTTTTTCTTTCTTTCTTTTCTTTTGGTTTTTTGAGACAGGGTTCCCTGTGCAGCTCTGGCTGTCCTGGAACTCTCTCTATAGCCCAGGCTGGCCTCAAACTCAGAGATCCACCTGCCTCTGCCTCCCGAGTGCTGGAATGAGAAGCACGCGCCACCACACCTGGCCTTCACCGGTTTCTTTTCCCTGTAACACGGCCAGTAGAGAACTTCTATATACCTCAAAGCTTATGTCTATCAAAGTGATCCACATGGAGGAGTCTTCATTGTAACTAACACCCTGGAAAACGACGGGGAAGGAGGTTCTTGGGAACTGAGAACCAGCACCTTGACTATGGCTCCTGGAGAGGTATCTCTCACATTTCTACTTCTGAGCTTGAGACACAATTCCCAAAGGCCTTAGGGTGTCCTGCGGCTTATCAAAGCCAAGAGGGAAACCCATACCCCAAAAACAGGGTATTTCACCTCCCCCTCAACCAGCTTCTCTCAGGCCTGGGTTCCTCAGCCATGCCTGGTGTCCTGTAGCTGTCTGGCCCTGCAGTTTCTGGGCTGCATGCAATTCCTTGCAATCAGGTTTATCTCTATAGGCTCGCTGCCCAGGGGTGGCAACCTGGAATTGCACAATCCCAGCAGGTGATGGCTGAGGGCAGCCTCGCAGGATTGCACACAGTTGCAACAGCCCAGGGAGGGCTGTAACTGCCCTAGGGGCAGCGTGCTGCGCAGCATCCTCCGAGAGCCACACCTCTGCCTCCCATTCTCCTGGTGTGAGGCCTTCTGAAGGCTAACCTCAGTGATCCAAGGCTAGAGGGGTTCGGTGTGGAGAGCTGATAAGGGCAGTGATGTGTAGGCGCCCCCTGTACAGCATGGCTCCACCTGGTCCCAGATCTATAAAGAAGGGATGCCCAGGATTAATGAGGATTCGGAGAGGGTCCTGTTACAAGGCTGTATCCACTTTCTGTGTCTGCCACAACCAACCCCTAAAACCCGGGGGCTGATGATCATTAGACAGTGAAATCCATCCTCTCTCCCAGTTCCAGAGGCCAAAAGTCCAAGTTCAGGGCCACGCTCCCAAAGTGTGGTCTCCCCTGACTCCTCCACTCACACTTTTCTCTCTGCTGACTACATCTTCGGCCGTGCTGAGACACAGCTCTGAGTGCACCTGGATGAGAGCTCTGAGGAGCATCCCTCTGGTCACTTGGCTTCCTGGGGGTTCTAGGCAGTCCATGGCCCCGTAACATCATCATCCCTGCAGGCTCTGCCTCCGTCATCTTCACAGCCTTCGAAGCTTCGTGGACCACACGTTCAGCTATTAAAGTAAATGCTCCTTCCTACCTGTGGGGCTCCATTCCCTTACCACTCTCACGGACCCTCCGCGCACGGGGGGACATGGAGATTCCCTGCACAGTGGGCCTGCACCCCCAAAGCAAAACACACAACACCACAACACCCTGCATGACCGTGCCCACACCCACCGTCAAGTCCAAGGACTTCCAAGAGCTCCATCCAAACTTTCCATAATGTCTCCACGAACATGTCCACTCCCTGCACGAACCGCTCGGTCAGCCTGGATAGTAACTGCAAGGACGAAAAGACAGTAAGAAATTGACCGACATGCCGTCTTCCCAATCCTGTCAAGCACTGAAGCGTGAGCTTGCGAGAGGACACCCGAACAGAAAGGAACCACAAGTGCCTCATGGACAGTCTACAGCCAAGCAATGAACAAAAGTTGATAGCTGGTCCCCCACCATGTAGAATATGGAAAGCTCCTCCTCCACACACAGGAGCAACACTTGCGGGTGAGGGGGCGTGGCTCCTGGTCATCATTATCGGCTTCCTCTGCCTGGGAGTTTCTGCCCTCAAGATGCTTCACAGGGCAGCTGGCTCTCCAAGGGACCAACCCTGAAATCTGAGACCACGAAGCATGCTCTGTCTGTGGCCTCGAGAATTTCCTTAGCTGTCTAGGTGATTCGGAAAGCACAGTAGACCGGGGAATCGTGTTACTCACTGCCTGATTGCCTTATTTCCTTCTGAGTAAGTGATCGTGCTGGCTAGTTTCATGTCCGTTTGGCACATGCTAGCGTCATCAGAGAGGAGCAGGCCTCAGTGGAGAAAATGTCTCCATTAGATCGGGTTGTAGGCAAGCCTGTAAGGCATTTTCTTAATTAGTGATCAGTGGGGGAGGGGCCAGCCCATTATAGGTTGTGCCGTCTCTGAGCTGATGGTCCTGGGTTCTATAAGAAAGCAGGCTGAGCAAGCCACAGGGAGCAAGCCACTAAGCAGCACCCCTCCACATCTTCTCCATCAGCTCCTGCCTCCAGGCCCTGCTTGAGTTCCTGCCCTGACTTCCTTCAATAATAACCAGGGCTATGAAGTATAAGCCAAATAACACTTTTCTCCCAAGTTGCTTTGGTGACGGTGTCTTATCACAGCAGTATTTAACCCTAACTAGGACAGCGATATTATATACACCTAGCATAAAGCTCGGAACCAGGGCTGGAGATGTAAGTCAGCAGATAATGTTTTCCTAGCATGCGTGATGTCTCCAGCACCACATAAACAAGGCAGCTCAAAACTGCCTGTAACTCTAGTTCCGTGGAGATCTGATGCTTTTCTCTGTCCTTGTGCACACAGGGGTACACACACACACACACTCACATGCACACACAATTTAATAAAATCAATCTTAGGCCAGCCGGTGGTGGTGCACACCTTTAATCCCAGCACCTGGGAGGCAGAGGCAGGCGGATCTTTGTGAGTTCGAGGCCAGCCTAGTCTACAGAACGAGATCCAGGAAAGGCCCAAAGCTACACAGAGAAACCCTGTCTCGAAAAACCAAAAAAAAAAAAATCTTAGAAAAAAAAAAAAACACAAAAAGCCAAGCATAGTAGTGCACGCTCCCAGTACTCAGTGGGCAGAGGCAGGTAGATCTCTGTGAGTTCAAAGCCAGTGTGGTCTACATATACATAGTGAGTCCGGGGACAGAGTTTGTATAGTGAGACCCTGATTCAAAAAACAAACCAACCAGCAGGCGATGGTGGCACACGCCTTTAATCCCAGCACTCGGGAGGCAGAGCCAGGCGGATCTCTGTGAGTTCAAGGCCAGCCTGGTCTACGGAGCGAGATCCAGGACAGGCACCAAAACTACACAGAAAAACCCTGTTTCAAACAAAACAAACCCAAACAACCAAACAACAATAAACAAAACAAAAAGAAAAAATAAAATAAAATAAAAATTAAAAAAAAAACCCACAAACAAACAAAAAGAGAAGAACACAAGAAAGGAAGGAAGGAGGAAGTGGGGAGGGAAGCAGGCAGGCAGCAGCAGCACAGCTCTCGATGGCACCAGCTGCCTGGGAAGCCGTGTGCAGGAGTTCTTTTAGGGTAAGCTACATTCTGACTCATGCTGTACTTTCCGGGCCTTGGTTTTCCCAGATGGAAAATGGGATCAGCATAGGAGCTACAGCTCAGTATGGTCCCCTGGCCCGCTGCAAGTGGCAGGAACTCAGGGGCGGCTGCGGCTGTCCAGTCAGACCAGGGACAGGGAGGCAGGGAAGGGTTCCTGGAGGGCAAATCCAGACCAGAAGTTCTTCTTCAGGCCGCGAAGGGGCCAGGAGGGAAGAGGACACGCCAGGGCAGGTCCCAGCCTGTGCCCTTTCAGCCACTCGGCTGGAGAACGTGCTGGTCCCTCTGGCAAGGCTGGACATGGAAGGAGAGCCCCAGACTTTATGGACATGACAGGGTTCCGCTGGGCTCTCCTAAATGTGATTGTGAAGCCCCTGGTCCCCAGTGAGGGAACATCTGACGACAGGGTCTTTAAAGAGGTGATTTGAGCCGGGCGGTGGTGGCGCACGCCTTTAATCCCAGCACTCGGGAGGCAGAGCCAGGCGGATCTCTGTGAGTTCGAGGCCAGCCTGGTCTCCAAAGCGAGTTCCAGGAAAGGCGCAAAGCTACACAGAGAAACCCTGTCCCGAAAAACAAAAAAAACAAAAAAAACAAAAAAAAAAGAGGTGATTTGGCTAATGAGACCACTAAGGTAGGCCAAGTCTAACAGGAAGGAAGTTGTTATAAGACACTGTGTCGCCGGGTGGCGGCGCACGCCTTTAATCCCAGCACTCGGGAGGCAGAGTCAGGCGGATCTCTGTGAGTTCCGAGGCCAGCCTGGACTACAAAGCGAGATCCAGGACAGGCACCAAAACTACACAGAGAAACCCTGTCTCAAGAAAAAAAAAAAAAGACAAGTGTGTCAGGCTTGTCTTCCCAGCTACTCAGGAGGCTGAGGCAGGTGTGTGTTGGGGGAGGTGAACGGGTGGGGGTGTTGTCCATGCAAACATCAGGGCTGGCAGAGTAACGATCCGAGTGAGCCAAGAAGGAAATCCGGTTCAACAGGACTCGGGAGTCAGTGTGTTGATTCAAACTTCTAGAACCTGATGGTTTATTTTGGGCACATTTATGCAGTTTGGGGAAAAAAAAAAAAAAACGTTTCCTGGTATAACAGAATCCCATGTGCACAGGGAGGCACAATCCCATCAACACTCTCTTCCAAGTACATGTCACTCGTCCGTGAAGATGAGCTCTATAGAGATAGGCCACATGTGCCATCTTGAGGGCCAAGGGGAGGATCTGGTGTGGGCTCGTCATACAGACAGCACAGAGGTCATCTGGGCTACCAACCGCCCCCAGTCCTGTTTGTGAGAGCCTGGGGGAGCCCCTGGCCATATAGATAGCACAGAGGTCGTCTAGACTATTAACCACCTCCAGTCCTGGTTGTGGGAGCCTGGGGGAGCCCCTGGCCATATAGATAGCACAGAGGTCGTCTAGACTATTAACCACCTCCAGTCCTGGTTGTGGGAGCTTGGGGGGAGCCAGTTATGGCCTGGCTCTAGAGACAGAATGCGCAGGGGTTACCTAGGCTATTAGCTACCTCCATGGAAAACAGGTTATATATTTTTTCCCTTGAAAAGACAACCCTGTGTGTTTAACATTCCTGTGCTAACTGTGAGCACAAGGGCCTCTGTGCTCCCAAACAGGCAGGGAGATGATGGCAAGCTCAAGGCCTGCCTTGGGCTCAAGGATGAGTCCAAGGCTAGCCAGGACATCTTAGTGAGACCCGCCCACCCCCATCTCAAAATAAAAACAGTTGGGAGTGGAGCTCAGTGGTAGAATGTTTGCCCAGAAAAAAAAAAAGAGAGAGAGAGAGGCCTGCTGGCCCATTCTGGAGTGCAGGGGAAGCCAGTCGACCACAACCTTGACCTCAGGTTTCCGGCCCCAAAGCAGTAAGAACTGCATTCTCATGGTCCAACCACCCAGTCGGGTACCGGGTTCCTGGTGAGTGACAGCAGAGTCCAGGGTCTGGAGGCAGAACCAGTAGTACCAAGTGAGTGAGCTGTCTTACACTAGGACTCCATATCTGTTAGTCCAGGGAACCCCTGGAGGGGTGGGGGTGGGCGTGGGAGGGAGATATACCAATATGGCATGGTGACTATGTGCCTGGCCAACACAGGTAGAACAGACTTCCAGAAAATGAGGTCTTGACCCCCAAACAAGGAAATAGATAATAAAAAGAAAAACTGCTCATCATTATGGGGAGGGACATGCCTGAGGAGGGCAGAAGACCACTTCGTGGAGTGGTGTTCTCCCCTTCACCATTGTGGGTTCTGGGGATTGAACTCAGGTCGCCAGGCAGGCACAGCAAAGCACCTTTACTCACCAAGGACAACGTTACCCTTTCAAGGACAACTTTCAAATACTGATCTTCCTGCCCCTACCCATTCAGTACTGGGAATATCCACCATGCCCGGCTTTACTATTTATTTACTTATTTATTTTTAAGATTAGGTCTCGCGTATCCCGTTTTTCTGGTGTTTTGGAGAGAGGATCTTGAATACACACACAGACACACACCACACACACACACACACACACTCCAAAAGAAATGTGGATAGCACCTGTATATTGTAAAATATTATTAGAGTAAAGATAAGTTTCCTGGGTGGGATGATGTTTGTGGACCGTGCAGAAGATACCAAGATATCGCTGTCTTACTTCAAATGGTGAAAACAAACACAGAAAGTGTGTGTACGGTGCGCTGGTAGAGAAAACAGAAAATATGCTCCGTGGGTGAAGGCAGCGGAGGGTCTTTTCTCTCTATCGACTTTTCAGTATTTTGAGATTTTATAGACGAGGAAGAGGAAGAAGAAAAGAGTCAGGGAAACCATTCAGTAAGTAAAGGCACTTGCTACCACTCTGCCCAAGTTTGATCCCCAGGACTGAGAGACCCCTGAAAGTTGTTCTCTGACCCCCACGGAAACCCTGCGGCATGCACATAAACAAGTATAACAAGGGAGATTTTGAACAAGGGGGCACCGTGTTTGTTGGTGGTGCCATCCTGGGTGCCCACGCCCCATGTGTCAGTTCACAGCCTTCTGTACCTTCTGTAAAGGCGACAACTTAATGACCTTCAATAAAGCTGCACAAATAATTACAGCAGGAGAAAAAGGACCAGGGAAGTGGCAATTATTTTTTTGTTTTGTTTTGTTTTTTTTTCGAGACAGGGTTTCCCTGTGTAGTTTTTGGTG